GTGTGTGTGTGTGTGTGTGTGTGTGTGTGTGTCTCACATTTTCTTTATTCATCCATCAATGAATTCTTTGGTTGTTTCCATATCATGATTGTTACAAATAATGCACAATCAACATGGGGGTGTATATATCTTTTTTAATTAATGTTTTAGTTTCCTTGGGTAAGGATCCACAATGGAATTACTGGATCATATGGTAGTTCCATTTTGAATTTTTTTTTTTTAATCTTAGAGAGAGGAAGGGAGTGAAAGAGAGAGAAACATTGATTGGTTGTCTCCCATACACACCCTGACTGAGATAGAATCTGCAACCTGGGTATGTGCCCTTACCTGCAATTGAACCTGCCACCTTTCGGTGCACGAGACGATGCTCCAATCAACTAAGCCACACTGACGATGGTTCCGTTTTGAATTTATAAAGGGACCTTTATACTGTTTTCTATAGTGGCTATATCAGTTTATAGTGCCACCAGCAATGTACAAAGTTTCCTTCCCTTTTCTCCACATCATAGCCACCACTTGCTAATTTTTGTCTTTTTAATAACAGCCATTCTAATAGGTGTGAAGGATATCTCACTGTGGTTTTGATTTTTATTTCCCTCATTATTAGTGATATTGGACATCTTTTTTCCTCTACATTTGGCCATCTGTATGTCTTCTTTGGAAAAAATGTCTATTTAGATTTTTGCCCAATTTTAAAAATCGGATTTTTTTTTTTATTTATGCATTCATTGGTTGCTTCTTGGATTTTGTTTTTTTTTGCTGCTGAGTTGTACAAGTTCTTTATATATTTTTGATATTTATCCCTTATCAGGTACATGACTTGCATATATTTTCTCACATTCAGTAGGTTATCTTCTCATTTTGTTGATGATTACTTTGTGGTGCAGAAGTTCTTTAGTTTGATGTAGTCCCACTTGTTTATTTTTGTTTTTTGCTTTTCGATTAAAAAAACATGGCCAAGATTTATGCCAAGGATTTACCACCTATGTTTTCTTCTAGGAATTTTATGGTTTGAGGTCTTATATTTAAGTTTTTAATTCATTTTGAGCTAATGTTTGTTTATGGTGTAAGATGGTAGTTCAGGTTCATTATTTTGCATGTGGCTGTCCAGTTGTCTCAGGGCCATTTATTGAAGAAACTTTCCTTCCCCCATTATATATTCTTCACTCCTTTGTCATAAGTAAATTGACCATATATACGTGGATTTCTTTCTTGACTTTCAATTATGTTCCATTGATCTATGTATTGGTTTTTATGCCTAAACCATACTGTATTACAATGTATTACAATAGCTTTATAATGTAGTTTGAAATCAGGGAGTGTCATGCCTCCAGCTTTGTTCTTCCTTCTCAAGATTGCTTTGGTTATTCAGATAAATTTTAGGGTTATTTGTTGTATTTCTGTGAAAAATTCCATTGGAATTTTGATAGGGATTACATTGAATCTGTGCATTGATTTTGGTAGTATGGACATTTTAACAATATTGATTCTTTTAATCCATGAGTATGGGATATCCTTCTATTTATTTGTGTCTTCTTCAGCTTCTTTCATTAATGTTTTATAGTTTTCTTTATACAGGTCTTTCTCTTTGGTTAAATTTATTCCTATATATTTTATTCCTTTGGGGATAATTATAAATTGGATTGTTTTCTTCATTTCTCTTTCTGATAGTTTGCTATCAGTGTATAGACACCTAGCAGATTTTTAAAATATTAATTTTGTATCCTGCAACTTTGATGAATTTTTAAATTGGTTCTAGCCTTCTTTTCAGTGGAGTCTTTAAGGTATTTTATATATGGTATCATGACTTCTGCAAATAATTACCGTTTCATGTTTTCCTTTCCAATTTGGATTTTTAAAATTTATTCTTCTTGCCTAATTGCTGTGACTAGGACTTTCAATATCATGTCAAATAAAAGTGGCAAGAGTGAACATCCGTGCCTTTTTCCTGATCTTGGAGGAAAATCTTTCAGGTTTTCACCATTGAGGATGATGTCATTTTTGAGCTTGTCATATATAGTCTTTATTATATTGAAGTATATTCCCTCCATACCTTTTTTAATCAAAATACTACTTTATTAAATGAGTTATTTTACACAATATGAACATCAATATAATTACAATTGTAAAATTTTTTTTATAACAAGGATGGACTGATTTTCAGATTTCCAAATTAGAGTCAACTGTACATTTACACAGAATTGTCTTTGCATGAAGCCCAAAAGGGAACAGCATAAAAATGAGTGTTTCTGTAGCCCCTTTATTTTTGCTGATCAACAGTTTGTTAGAAAAGCAGCTGCAGGTTTGTTACCTAAGTTCTGAGACAGTAGAAGAGTCAAAGGTGTCATGAATTCACCTGTAAACAACTTTATGCCTGGACATCAGCTAATTCTGGAGGAAGTGGAGTCTTAGGATGCTTGCTCTCAAAGTGCTGCTTGAAGGTCTTAGGGTCTGGCATTTGTGTCCTACAGACAGTGCAGGTATATATTAAGGCAGCTTTGGCAGCAGCCTTTTGGTCGTGTCCTTGTTTCTTCTTTTGTCCGGCTTGCTTTTTGGCATTTTTCTCCTGAGACTGAATCTTCTGCTGTCCACGAGCCATATCTTCTGGCAGCGGGCTTCTTCTCGCCCAGCACGCGCGCACGCCTGCACCTCTTCAGGTCGCGCTGGCCCCCTCCATACCTTTTTTATTGAAAGTTTTTTTTTTTTTTCATAAATGAGTTTTGAATTTTAGCAATTTTTCTGCATATATTGAGATGATCATATGATTTTTATATTTTGTTTTATTAATATGATGTATTCTGTTGATTGATTTGTGTTGTCGAACCTTTCTTCCATCTCTGTAATAAACCTCCTGGTTCATGGGTTAATGCCCCATTTTGTTTTTGATGTTACATTTTATATCTATTTATCTTGTGTATCTTTTAACTATTAATTATTATAGTTATTTTTTACTACCTTTGTCTTTTAACTTTCATATTGACTTTATATATGATTAATTCACTACCTTTATACATTTGCTTTTGCAGTCAAATTTATTCTTTCATACATTTTCTTGTTACTAATTGGCACCCTTTATTTTCAGCTTAAAGAAGTCTCTTTAACATTTCATGTAAGGCTGGTTTACTGATGATAATCTCCTTTAACTATTGCTTGTCTGAAAAAACAATTGATCTCTTTAATTTTGAATGACAATTTTGCCTGGTATAGAATTCTTAGTTGGAAATACTTATTTTCCAGCACTTTGATATATCATTTCACGCCCTTCTAGCCTGTAAAGCTTCTGCTGAAAAATTTGTTGCTAAGCTCATTGGGGTTTTCTGTATGTAACAAGTTATATTTCTCTTGCTGTTTTTAAGATTCTTTCCTTGTCTTTAACTTTTGATATTTTGATTGTATGTGCCTTGGTGTGGATCTCTTTGGTTTCTTCATTTTGGAACTCTCTGGGCTTTTTGAATTTGGATGTCTGTTTCCTTCTCCAAATTAGGAAAGTTTTTAGCCATTATTTTTCAAATAATTTTTTTGAAGTTTGTCTTATTCTTTTGTTTGGAACATATTCCTTTGTTTCTTCATTTTGTTTGATTCTGTGTTGGTTTATATGCTTTAGATGAAACAATCACTTCTTCCACTCTTAAAGGGCTGCCCTTGTGTAGCAGATGCATCTCATTGTTCAGTCCTGCCTTAACTCTTTGTTGTCTCTCAAACCTTTGTAATTTTCCAAGCAACCTTTTTTTTTTTTTAAAAAAATATATTTTATTGATTTTTACAGAGAGGAAGGGAGAGAGATAGAGAGTTAGAAACATCGATGAGAGAGAAACATCAATCAGCTGCCTCCTGCACACTCCCTACTGGAGATGTGCCCGCAACCAAGGTACATGCCCTTGACTGGAATCGAACCTGGGACCTTTCACTCCGCAGGCCGACGCTCTATCCACTGAGCCAAACGGGTTATGGCCAAGCAACCTTTTTTATTTAGTAGTTGAGGGTATGTCAAGACTTTTTAGTGTTCCAAAGGTGAATATCTCAGTCAGCAGATTGAAGCTGATTGGAAACCAGACACTCAGGCAGTATATCTTTATCTTTATCTTTATCTTTATCTTTATCTTTATCTTTATCTTTATCATCTTTATCCTTATAGTCCCATGGGACTGTAAGCATAAGTCCTACTGGCCACCAGAGCCAGGTGATATGGAGGTGTCCCCTGGGTGGTAGTCATAGAAATAGGGGCTTCAGACAAGTGTATACGCTCTTTTCTTGGAGATACCAGTGAACTGTACTGAGGCAGAGGGAAAGTGCAAAGGTGGTGTCCATTGGCCTGTTCCCTGAGAGTAGCTCTTAAGGCCTCCGTGTGTGCCAATCCTGAAGCCTTCTCCTTAGACTGAAGCTCCAGGACAAGCAAGTAGACCTGTCTCATAGAAATACTGGGGATGTGTTTCAGTCTCTTGTCTTTGCAGTGCCCTGGGGGTAGAAGCCTGCCCAGAACCTTCTCTCCGATTATTATAGTCCCATGGAATTCAGGAATACAAGGCCCCTTGGCCACCAGAACCAGGTTGTCAAGGGGTGTCCCCTGGGTGGTAGTGTAGAAACTAGAGCACCAGACATAAAACTCACAGCACCAGACACGCCTAACTGTTCCCCTCCAGGAGATACTGGTGCTCTAAAGCATGACCGAGGGAGAGTACAGAGATAGTATTTGCTCTCTGAGGTCTATGGAAAGGATTACAGTCAGTCCTCAGATTTGTGTTTCATTGTAAGCCTATCTCTCAGGGTGCATCAATGATGATTAGCTAATAGGCTCTTTCATAGAGATTTTGGGTCTGTTACCTCTTGCTATGGCCTGAGGGTGATAGCTGATTAAGAACTCTTTTTCCATTGGTTACAGTCCTATGGAATCTATGAGCATAAGCCCTACTGGCCACCAGGACTAGACCATGTAGAAGTGTCTCCTGATAGCAATAGCAAAAATCAGAACATCAGATAAAGGTATAAGCTTTTTACTCCACGATGCTGGCAAGCTGTAGTGAGGCAGAAGGAGAGCACAAAGATGGCACCCCTTGGCCTCTGTTCCCTAAGAGCACTTCCTTAAGGCTTTACATATGTGTCAAACCAGAAGCCTGACCCTCAAGTCAAAGCTCCTGCACCAGCAAATAGTCCTATTTCATAGAAAGAATGGGGGTGGGGGTGGTGTTTCAGTGTGTTGTCTGTGCAATATCCCGGAGTGGTAGCTTGTCAGGAATGGTCTCTCTGATTAGTTATAGTCCAATGGGACCCAGGAATGCAAGCCCCCCCTTGGTCTTCAGAGCTAGGAAATAAAGGGGCATTATGGGTGATAGCTACACAAATCAGGGTACCAGAGATGTTTAAAAACCCCCTTCTGGAAAGTACTGTCATCTGGAGTGCAGCAGAGGGACAGCACAAAGAAGGTGCCAACTAGTTGGCCGCAGTAAGGCGAAGGGGCAGTGTAAAGATGGCACTTGCTGGAAAAAGAAAAAAAAAAGGTTGTACATGCTGGCTAGAGAAAGGCAGAGCAAGAGCCCAAAGATGGCAACCACTGGGTAGAATGAGGCAGAGGAAGCACATAAGATGGGACCCATAGGAAAAAAAGAAAGATGGAGCCCTCAGCCTAAACAAGGCAGAGCAAGAGCACGAAGATAGTGCCCACCAGTCTCTGTCCCTGGAGAGTGTTCCAGCAGTCTCTTAGATGTGTATGTGTTCAATTAGATGCCGATCCTTCAGGCCAATACTTTAATATAAGCAGCGAGCCTCTATCATTTAAAGTCAGAGCACTGTTGGCTGCCAATGGGCTGGGTCCTGGAATGGGTGAGTCCTAGCAAACAAGCCCTTTATGAGCCATTTCTCTGACCACTATAGACTTGTGAATATCATGGATGTGAGCCCTATTGATTTTCAAAGCTAGATGTTTTGGGGGCTTACCTCTCAGGTATGGTTATTAAAAGCTGAGGTGGCCTGGCTGGCGTGGCTTAATGACTGAGCGTCAACCTATGAACCAGGAGGTCATGGTTTCATCCCAGTCAGGGCACATGCCTGGGTTGTGGGTTCGATCCCCGGTGTGGGGTGTGTAGGAGGAGGCAGCTCAATAATTCTCCGTCATCATTGATGTTTCTATCTCTCTTTCCTTCTCCCTTCCTCTCTGAAATAATAATAATTTAAAAAAAAAGCTGAGGTGCCTGATGTGGAGTACAACTCTTTGTTTCTCAGGATTTGAGTTCCCTCTAGATTGTGAGTTGCCATGCTGGAGATGGGGTTTATGATGATATTGTGGCCCAGCTTCTCTTACCCATTTCTATGTGGTTTTCTTTTTATTTGCTTGATCTGTAGTCATTGTTCAGCCAGCAGTGTTTTTCTTTTTTTCAAGAGGAAGTTGTTCCATATGTAACTGTAAACTTGGTGTTTTTATGGGAGGAGGTGAGTTAAGAATCTTCCTAAGTTGCCATCTTGAACAGGAACCCATCCTCTTCTTTTTTAAAAACAATTTTTATATTGATACAATTTTAAACTAACAAAACTTTTGCAGGAATAGTACAAAATTTATGTACATGTTTGCCCAGAAACCTCATTCAAGTTTTGCTGATTATTCTAATAATGTCTTTATAGCAAAAGCATGCAAGCCAAGATCAGGTGTTAAATCCAGTTCTTATGATGCTCAATTTTCCTTAAATCAAATCAGTTCTTCATTCTTTTTATTTTTAATTGATAATTAGAGAGAAAGGGAGATGGAGAGAGAGAAACATGAATATGCCAGTGAAACATCCATTGGCTGCTTCCTATACACCCCCTACCTGGGATATATTCCTGCAACTCAGATATGTTCCCTGACCTGGAAATCAACCAGCAACCTTCCAGTGCATGCAATGATACACAACCAACTGAGCCACAATGGCTGGGGCAGTCCTTCACTCTGTTTTTGAAACTTGATATCTCTCTCTCTCTCTCTCTCTCTCTCTCTCTCTCTCTTTTTCTGATAGTTAACTGCTATTCTTAAATTAATATGAACAATTTCTATTACGTTTTTATACTTTTACCGATTATATATATCTATAAATGATACTATTTTATATTTTTAAACTATATAAGTGGTATCATATAGATGTATCCTTTTTCAATCAGGACCAATGTCTAATTCTTTTGTTTGTTTTGTCTCTTGATCCCCATTGTTTTTGGATTGTTTCCATTTTGGTCTTGTAGCTTTTTAAAAAAATCAACTCACTTTTAATGACTTTTAAAAAATGTTTTTGACAGAGATCCTAAAATTATCACTGGTGAGTGACCAGTTTTTATATGAATTTATTTCTGGGCTTAGAAGTCCCAATGTAATTCAGACATTGTAAAGTTGAAACCTTAATTAGCAGGAGCACAAATCATGAATACAAATTCTCTTGGAGACCTTTTTTTTCTTCTCTTTTCAAGCTCATGCCATGATAGAAAAGCTTCCTAGTCATTTTGCTGTGCTAGGGAGTGAATTTTATCTAGTGTACCCTTTCACTGAGGTTACAGATCTCAGATTTTCAATTTATATATGTGAGGAAGGGCATGAATGAGGAGGAACTCATAATTTTTAATTTCTGCTTGCACTAAGGACCCAAAGTTTTATCTCTGGTTACC